GCACCGGAGTATAAGATGCACCAAGGCTTTGAAGAGGCAATTTTTTTTAAAAAAAAAGTAGGTAGATAGATAGAGGGATAGAGAGGGAGAGAAAGAGAGAGAAATACAGTAGGTAGGTAGGGGGAGAGAGAGAGTAGGTAGATAGGTAGAGAAAGGGATAGAGAAAGAGAAATACAGTAGGTAGGTAGGGGGAGAGAGAGAGTAGGTTGGTAGGTAGATAAAGGGAGAGAGAGAGAGAAATACAGTAGGTAGGTAGGGGGAGAGAGAGAGTAGGTTGGTAGGTAGATAAAGGGAGAGAGAGAGAGAAATAGATAGATAGAAATACAGTAGGGAGGGAGGGAGAGAGAATAGGTAGATAGAGGGATAGAGAGATAAATAAGTAGATAGGTAGAGAAAGAGAGAGTATGTAGGAAGGTAGATAAAGGGATATATATAGAGAGAGAGAAATAGAGAGATAGAAATACAGTAGGTAGGTAGGGGGAGAGGGTCGGTAGGTAGATAGAGGGAGAGAGAGAGAAAGAGAGAGAGAGAGAGTAGGTAGATAGATAGATGTTTCCAGATGTATTTATCCATATGCTGAGAAGAAAATCGCTGACAATCTGCAGCACCTAAAAGTTTGTTTCTGCTGGCACAGCACTTGATCAATGTAATTCTCATCAATTAGTTAAAGAACTTTCCAAAAGGAAAAAAAAAAGTTTTTACACTTTGCAAACCTCCCCAAAACGGCCCGGTTTTTTTGCAAAAACAGGCCTGTTTTTTTTAAAGGCATGAATAGCCTTGGGGGAGCTTGCAGAGTGCTCCTGGGGGGGAGGGATGAACAAAAAAAGTCCATTTTTTGCAAAAGCGGGCCCGTTTTTTGTAAAATAAATTTGCATGCATAGCCTCATGGAGGCTTATAGAGTGCTGCTGGGGGCTGAGGGGGCGAAAAACGGCCTGCTCATTTCTGCCCTCTACAGCCCCCAGGAGCTCTCTGAAAGCCTCCATAAGGGTATGCATGGCCATTTTGGTGAAGGGGGCAGGGCTTCGGAAGGCAAAAAAATGCTGTATTTGATGTATAAGACACACCCAGATTTTCAGGCTCTTTTTTGAGAAAAAAGGTGCATCTTATACTCCGAAAAATATGGTAATATAATAAAATCACCCCCCACCCCCCCAGTGACGACACCTCACACCAGCCATTTAATGGACTCCATCCCGCTCTGGGTTCCCCAGGCCCACTGGCAGAACCAGGCCTTCAATGCCTTCTGGAAGAGTGCTAGAGTTGGGCCATTTTAATCTCTGGGGGAGATTAAGGGGGCACCACGGAGAAGACCCTTCTGGATCCCACCAGGTATATCTACCTAGGCCTAGGGAATGGCACCCACAACATTCCCTGCCTCCCTGCTCTAATGTGTTGGGTAGATGTGACCAGCAAGAGACACCTGATCCTAACCTGAAGGGCTTTAAATGTGACAACCAGCACCTTAAATTGTACCCAGAAGCAAATCACCAGCTAGGTTTAGGTTTATTGGTTTTGTATGCCGCCCACTCCCGAAGGACTCCGGGCGGCTCACAATAAACAGGGGAGGGAATAAATAAGACAATAACTAACGTAGCTCCTGCAGGAAAGATGATACATGTACACACCAGAGTCTGTACAAAACCATGTGGGCTGCTGCATTTTGCACCAACTGGAGATTGTGTATGCTCTTCAAGAGCAGCCCCATGTAGAATGCGTTGCAATAGTTAAGACGGGAAGTGACTAGGGTGTGGGTAACTAGGGATTGTTGGTCCAGGAAAGGGCGTAACTGGTGCACACCCCACAGTTGCACAAAGGCCCTCCTGGCCACGACTGTCACCTCTTTGAACACGAATCGTGAGTCCAGGAGAACCCCCAGATTACTCACAGGATCTGTTTGGGTGCCTTCCCATCTAAGATCAGAGGTGTCAGAGGTGACAATTCTCCCTGAGCCAATGAACCCCAAACCCAGAGCCACTCGGTCTTGCCAGGATTTAGTTTTGCCCATCAATGACCTAGAGACTTCTCAGAATTTCTAGAAAAAGTAGCTGTTTGGCTCTGGTTTTTTTTTTTTTTTTTTTGCAAAGTAGGTAGTACATAAAACCTTGAAGAGTTGTTTCCCTACTGGAAAATTGGGTCTTAGGAGATGGTGAAGCTTGTAGTCCTGGCACCTCTTTAGTGGGAATGACATTTCTTCAAGGGAGGTGGAGAGTCTTCAACAAATCTTGGAAATGGGAAAAGAACAGTGGAGGCAGGCACTCTGCCAACCTACCAAATTTTATGAAGCCTTTTAATTTAGGAGTCACAAAGGCACAATTTTTGAGTTCAGAGTTCAGGACTTTCATATATCATCAGAGAAGAAAATAGATGCGGTATTTTTGTATGTAAACAAATTAAACTCTTTTAATAGTGTGGGTTTTGGGGTGTTTTTTTTAAAAATAGGTGAATGGTTGTCTTAATCCTGAACCATTGTCTCAGCAAGAAATTGAAGACTGCAGTCTAATTTTGACACCAAAACAGCTTCATCAGATAGTTATTGGTAAGATAGTGATTTGATAACATGTATTTTACTATCTTAAATTATTAACTATTGTACAGGCAAATGGAAAATTGGACAAAGATGGAATAATCTAGAAGAGCATATAAATGAATTATCTTGAAGAATATGGAACTTTAGAGGTTAAGTGCTCCTGAGACTTGCTTTCTTTTTCTTAACTTACTTTGAGGAGTTGATTTGTGGAAATTTTTCTTGATCGTATATAGTATTTTGGTATGTTTGCCAAAAAAGAATTACATTTTTCTCTTTACACACACTGAACTTTTTTTGAGCAAATCTATTGTCATTAATATCCCCTATTCACAGAAAGAGAAAGGAAAACTACAATTGCAATTGTATTGCCATGTTTTCAGTTTTTAAAAATGTAATTTTCAAAACAGTTATAATAAATACAATAAAATATAGGAATACATAGTACATCCTCTGAAATACTACAAAATAATAGACTACCACAAATAGTAAACAGGCAATAGTTGAAAAGTTGATAAAACCAATAATATTTTAACTGTTAAATAAATATTTTAACTGTTAAATATTTTGACTTCCGTACAAACACTTCACAGTAAGGACCTGTTTAAAATCTGAGGGAAATTTATATCACTACCTGGGCCTCATTACAGGGAATACACTTTTACCACAACTGAGTGAATATAAGCAAGCAATGTCAGTAGTGCATTTTGTCATGTACAAAGATTGAATAAATGAACTAGATATAGATGGTTTCAGAAATAAACTGTTCTAAACTACTCGATCAATAAAAGCTGTTCCAAAATGTCTTAGTAGTTAATTGGCAGATGGTACTTTATAATTAGGGGGTTCACTAGCAATCTAAATTCATATTTTTCCCTTGATGTGGTCCTTGCACAACCTGGAGGGGAGTTCCTACACAAATGTGTAGTCTGAAAAATGAGGAATTATATATAAAATATTGTGCATATATAGGTACCGTATTTTTCAGAGTATAAGACGCACCGGAGTATAAGACGCACCAATATTTTGAAGAGGCATTTTTTTTAAAAAAGTAGGTAGGTAGGTAGGTAGGGAGAGAGAGACAGAGACAGAGACAGAGACAGAGAGAGAGAGACAAGTACAGTAAGTAGGTAGGGACAGAGAGTGTGTGTAGGTAGGTAGGTAGAGGGTTAGAGAGAGAAATAGAGAGAGAGAAATACAGTACATAGGTAGGGAAAGAGAGAGAGAGAGTAGGTAGGTTGGTAGATAGAGGGAGAGAGAGAGAGAGAAATACAGTAGGTAGGTAGGAAGAGAGAGTGAGAGTAGGTAGGTAGATATTTCCAAGTGTATCCATGTGCTGGAGAAGGAAATTGCTGACAATCTGCAGCACCTAAGACTTTGTTTCTGCTGGCACAGAACCTGATCAATCTAATTCTCATCAATCAGTTAAAGAGCTTTCCAAAAGAAAAAAAAGTTTTTGCACTCTGCAAATCTCCCCAAAATGGCCTGTTTTTCATGAAAACGGGCCTGTTTTTTGTCAAAAAAAATTACATGCATAGCCTTATGGAGGCTTATACAGTGCTGCTGGGGGCTAGGGGGGCAAAAAACAGCCCATTTTTTGTTAATTTCTGCCTCCCCAGCCCCCAGGAGCTCTCTGAAAGCTTCCATAAGGCTATGCATGTAATTTTTTTTGACAAAAAACAGGCCCG